AGTTTTTAGATATATGTGCTCTAAATTATTATTTTTTATTTGACCCATTTATATCCGATTCGATCCATTTATTTGTGAATATTATTTACGCGATTAATTTTTTCTTGAACTCCTTGATGAAAATCCTCCCTCCGTCACTGCTTGAAGTTGGTCTTCAAGAAAAGCAAGAATAGTAGCTAGAATAATTCCTCTTATGCCTCCTCCATCAACACTAAGAATTGTCACCATTTCTCCCTATCACATGAGATGTTGCTACAAAAAAAAGTATAATGAAAAATGATCTTCTAGTTGCCGTTGTTAGACTATCTTTTTGGGAGTACAAAAGCATCGACTAACAAGTGAGGATTTATATAATCACATGAAAAGTCTTGGTTCAAGTCCAGGATGATCATTTACTCTTTGTAATCAGATTTGTTAGCAAAGTAATCTCACAATTATTATATTTGTAAGCCGAGTCAGACCCATGTAGGGTCAAAGAGATTCAAATGAATCCATATGATCGAAATATTTTATAGGTTAAATTTGATAAATTAAAATTAATCGTATCATGTCAAATGAACTAATGTGATCCTATGGTGTGATGATCTAGTAGGTTCAAAAAATTGTTGTGATATGATTTTTGAAACGCCTATGCAATATTAATTCTTAAATATTTTTACTTAAATTTTTGTTTTGTGTAACCATATATTTTATTACAAATGTGTGCACATTTGGTCAATTTTATGGTTATACCTTGTTACTTTCTGTCTATGGATTAATTTTCTCTTTTTTTTTTTACTCTTGTTTTTTTTTCTATCAGAGGGCGTTTGACTAAGAGTTAATTTGGATTGATTTATTTTAAATGCTAAAATAATTCTAGAGTATTTTTGTAGTGTTTGAATAAAATATAAAAGTTTTTTTAAAACAATTGTTTTAAACTCAAAAAGACAAAAATTGTCAAAAAATCATAAGTTAGAATTTTTATCTATGACTTTTAAGTCAAACAGATAAAAATTAAGTCAAAAGCTATAAATAGAATTTCTAACTTATTACTTTTGACCTATAAGTCATAATCACAATCTCATGCAAACAAATTCTAATCATATAAGTTGGTAAAATTAACTTTTAAAAGATGTTTGACTAAGTGTATTAGCTGGTCAAAGTGTTGAACAAGTTTATTTTTAAAAAAATGAGGTGTTTGGCTGTAATGACCCGTTAGGTCATTTTGAAAATTAGTCATCGCTCTTTCATAAAAGATCCTTTTTGTAAATTTTTAATGAGAATTTTGAATTACTCTTTTAACTATGGTTATTTTATTGATAAGAATTCTTTAATAATTAATATAATTAGTAATTAATGGACCAAGAATATAATTTTATTAACGGAAAATTACGCGGTTAAGCAAACTTATACTACTTATTTACTCATCATAGCTATAGTTTGCTATAATTACCACTCACGACTAACATTATACATTAATTACGCGGGCTGACTTCGAGTTTGTTTTTACTAGTCATGTTTGTATATGTATAATTCGTCAGAATACACAAATACATATGTATAATATACAATTATCTAACCTATATACATATACAATTCACCTCTCGCCCACTCTCTGCCCTCTCTCGCTCGCCTCTCTCCTCCCTCTCCCAATCTCGCTCGCCTCTCTCCTCCATCTCCCAATCTCCCAATCCGAGCTGACTTCGAATTTGTATAATTACTCCGTATAAGAGCGTTTGTACTGCCAACGTTGTTTCAATTCATATAAACAAGATGAATAGGCAGAGAAAGTTCACTCAAAAGTAGCGAGAACAAAAAATAAGAGTATTCCATCAGAAAAATCTGCAAGTTTTTCAAAGGATGAAACGATAATTATAGTTCAACAACTGAAAATGCAATTTCGCGGCACCAGAAGAGGCCGGGGATCTCGAAACCATAGACAGCCGATCAGATCCAGATTTGGGTTTGCAACTTCTCAATATATACTTGCTCCTCAAAAACACAATTTCGTCTCAATTACCTCTTCCAAATTTCTCAGAGGCTTGTTCCATGCTTTACGAATACGAAAAAACAACATCAACTCCACCTCGCTGGAGAAAGTAGCTAGTAATACTTGTAAGAGTACTGTGGAGATGATCCATGATATAGCAAGTACAGTAACAAATGTAGCTTCAATAGCACGCGAATTTTGGAATGCGATTGGACCCTAGCTTATGATAGAAGCAGAGGCATAATTCGGCGCCACAGGAAGCCATTCTCGCTCCAGGTAAAACAAGAATTCGCCTAACTAATCTTCATCTCTAATTCGTATGTACTAGTTTTAGGAGTAAGAGTTTAATTAATTATTAAATTGATAGGTTGGAAGAGTTGAATATTTACAGAATGTTGGAGATATTGTAATGTAAATTATTTTTGATTGGGTGTATTTATTTATGGCAGTGGATTGATGTTTCATGATGAGTAATGATGAGGAAATTAATGATGAGATAGTAATGAGTGGAATAGAAAAGTTGTAGCTAGCTTAGGTTCTGCGTATTATCTTCCGTAACAGGTTGGTTTCTATGTTTATTTTTGGTTAGCATATTGTGATCAAGATTTTAATATATTGAGATACCTAATTACATATTAGGTGTATTGTAGTATGTGGATACCATTAAAATTATGCTATTTGAGGGAATCAAAACTTAACCCTAGACTTGAAAGTTGGAAAGTATGATAGTTGAAATGTTAATTGACATCAAGATTTACGAACTTGATTATAAATTTGGGTGAATTTTGGTTCAAGGCTAAACACATAATAATGTGGGTGTTGTTAGTTTCAAAATCTTATCGTGGTAATTTGTTTGGATAGATTGTATTGATTTGGAGCCCAACGAAAGGGAAAGGCTCAAGTCCCGGAGTGATTGTTCGACTATTTAAGGCAAGTGCATTCCTAAACCCTTGTTAAGTGTATGGAATTCGTGTATTTCCTTGTGATATGTGTTTGGGGGTAATGAGACTTGGTGATGTGTTGACTTGTACACATTGATTATTTTCTAATGATGAAAAAAGGGTAATAAAAGGCAATGTGTTTAATTGTTGATGTGTGATGTTTGAGACTGGGTTGAAAGGCTTGTTGAATCATTGTTGATGTTGTATCACGATTGTATTGTTGTGAATTGTGTATTGTTATGAAAATGGTCATCTCCTCATTATATGTGTGAACATATCATTTGCATTGTTCTGAGACATTATTGTGACAAGTGTTATGTGAATTGAGAAAGTATAAGAAATTAAAGAGGATGTACCATTTTGAGGGACGTATCGTGCGCCGCGAAGGATATTATATTTTGAGGGACGTATCGCGCGCCGCGATGGATACTATATTTCGAGGGACGTATCGCGCGCCGCGATGGATACTATATTTCGAGGGACGTATCGCGCGCCGCGATGGATACTATATTTCGAGGGACGTATCGCGCGCCGCGATGGATACTATATTTCGAGGGACGTATCGCGCGCCGCGATGGATACTATATTTCGAGGGACGTATCGCGCGCCGCGATGGTTATTATTATCGAGGGTCGTATCGCGCGCCGCGATGGATGCATGGACAGATATGTCCCCCATGGGTCCCGGACTGAGAGACAGCGGGTGTGTATCACTAGGTCAGACATGCATCACTATACTTGACATTGTATTCCATTGCATTGGCATATTTATCATATAGGGAACTTGATATTGTGTTTTGCTGATCTTGTGAGTGCCTTTCTCTGGAACTTTGATTGGTGAATATTGAGCTTGTTGTTGAGGATATGTAATTGTTAGAGTGTTGTTGTTGAGCTGTGCCCTATGTGAATTATGAACTGTTAGGTTGGGCTGGCTTTATGCAGGTTGTAGTTGTGGAAGTTCGATTTGGGTGTAAGGTGTACCCGTATTTTATCCCCTTAGCTTGTGTTTAGAGGTTTACTTGCTGAGTACCACATGGTTTGGTACTCACCCCTTGCTACTACATTTTTTTTGTAGGTCACTAGCCCGGACCTTTGTGGTATATTCTCTTCTTTTCTGAGGCTTCTTGGAGATTTGTGAGGTAGTTGTTTTTCAATTCAACAGACCTTTTTACTCTTGTTTATGATCTTGTTCTACTCTAGAAACAATGTCCTATGAGACTTGTGTTTTTCTTTTGAATCAGTTGTAATACTTTAGGGGCTTGTACACGTGACAATCAAATTTTGGGGGTATTTTTTGAGTTAATTATGAAATTTCCGCATTTTATTGTAATGGGTGAGTGTTAGGCTGACTTGTCTTGGTGGGATAAGACGAGTGTCATCACATCCATTTTTGGGTCGTGACATTGGCTAACTTTTTGAGATATTTTTTATAGTACATAGTTCTAGAAGCCGTTTTCAGAAGCTAAAAAACTGTAAATTTTTCCTAAAAACACTTTTTTTTGCAAAACACTTAAAAGAAAAATACTTTTAAAAGTACTTTTAAAAAATTTGATCAAATATAATTGTTGCTAAAAAGTTCATTTTTATTTATGTGTTATAAACAAACTATTTCTCACCAACAAATACTTTTTAAAAAAACACTTTCAAAAAAAAGACTTCTCACCATAAGTTTATTTTAGAAGTTAGCCATACATATTAAGGATGTCTGATTAATTGTTGGTACCCACTTGCATATAAGTTCACATTAATATGAAGAAATTAACAAGTATTGAATAAAATTTCTTTTATAAAATAAATCAAAATGCTAGTCGTCAATTTTTTATTCTTTATCTTCACTTATTCATTTTCATCATTCTCTTATTCTTTTCGTGTATTTAACTTCAATTACATTATATTGTTAATTTACCTTGATATCTGATGGATCAAATCACTTGCCTCAAAGTAGTACTATTTTTTTTCTCATTCATTTAGGATATCTAAAGTTGAAGAATCTCTTATATCATATCATAATTATTTGTATAATATTAACTTGCCACTTCAAATTATATTTTTTTTTTCTTTTTGCTTTGAAAAGAAGATTCAAATACCATAGCATAAAATAACGACAATTTATTTAAATATTTAACACAACCAAAAGGTTACATAATCCAAGCACACATTACATAGAGAGACATTTCTATTGAAATTTATCCCTCAAACTCCTTTTATTTTGAGGTTGAAATACTTAAATGCGTGCAATCATAAATATTGCAAGCGTTTATTATTTACTACTACAACCCGGGACCTTGAATTAATAAGAAGCTTTGTTTGCTCGGAGTTTCTTCCTATCAGAGAGCAATTTTGCAAATCTACAACGAAATAAACTATTTTAATTAGCAATAAAATACTAATATGAATAATATTGACTGACGAGATATAGTAATATGAAAAAAAAAAAAAAGAATTATTTCAAGCACCGATAGTTTTACCTCTTTAGAGCTTCCTCATAGGTTTTCAGGACTGTCTTTGGAAACTGGTTTCTTCAATAATGTTTCACCAACTTGTACTAATAAATCCATATTAGCCTCAGACGCATCATCCATTTCAGTAGTTGTGCCTGTTAATGCATTTTCCTGGAATTAAATATACATAATTTAGACATACTTCACTATCATATATGACATGCATATTATAAAATAATAATAATGAAGAAACTACATAATAAGACATACTTCACTATCATATGTACTTTTAAAATTTTACGTATCTTATCATTAATTAAGAGTTTTCTACCATATATTAAGAAAAAATTACTTAGATACATGTATTTTTGCTACCAAATACACAAATATAGGGAGAAAGGCGAGTGAGATTCGTATGTATCTGATAAAATAGGTAATATTGCAAACTAGCTAGTGAGATTTATGTAAGTTTAATTTCCGATAAGTTGGGACTTACTTGAACCCTGAGGTAATTGTTTTGTGAATGACGAGCTTGAAAAACAGTAGAAATGTAATAATCAGTCATGTAAGAACTTGCTGCATTAGTCATTTGCTGTATAGCTAACATCCATCGTAGAGGACCCCATTTAGCTGCCTCTTCTGCTGTATATGTTTTATCAAACTCTGAATTAGTGCCAGTGCCTAATGAGAGCAACAACATTTGCTTGTAATCCAATGACTTAATTGAAGCAAATTTTGGATCCACTTGTGCAAGTTTCGTTGCAACGCTAAGGGATAATAACGCCTGCATTACACGTACGTACAACATTGATTAGATATTTCGAAAAAACATATAAAATTGAATCGAAAAAAGTAGTAGTATTAATTAGTACCGGATCACCAACAGTAGCAACACCACCATCAACAAGATTGAACTCATATATATCACCATTACTAGTATGAGTAGTAAAGTAATGTGGAGGAAAATATATTGGAGCTGCTGCTGTGGAATAACATATGTCATACATCTTAGCATCCAATTCTGGAGCATTTGCTAACTGCATTTTAAAAATATACATTTACCAAACGTACTAGAAAATAAATAAGAAATTCACTAGTTTACAAATCATGACTATAATTATTTCGACTTACATTTGACTTAGTGAATATTACTGGCTTATTTGTTTTGATGTCAAAGCTTGAGATGGCAACTTCTGTCAAAGCTTGATGCACACGAGTTTCTCCAAGTTTTTCTTGAAGAACTTGCATAAGATATTTTCCATCATATTTTGGGCCAAAAATTGAACCACTGCATAATATAATGTAACCAAATTAAATATAAGTATAAAGAACAAAAATCTCATATATTTGGGGTTAATTATATCTTACCTCAGAAGTTTACTCAATTACGTACAAAAATACTAAATATTTCATTGCTCTCGGATATATTCCTTGGCTGTCCGATACATTGCAAATGATGCATTACTTAATGGGAGGGATGTATCTGAAAGGGGATAGAGATGTAACTTAGAAGAGATTTTTGTAATTTTTTTAATGGTAGGAAATTTTAGAGAATATAATATCTTAAGTTGTGTATTTATGTAATTTTTTGTAAATATAATTCATTACTCAAAACATATTCTCCTTCTTTCTTTCGAGTTGTTTGACCTATTTTTTTAGTCCATCTAAGAACAATGTACTCCATCTGTCCCATTTTATGTGGCACTTTTCGGATTTCGAGATTCAAACAAGTTTATCTTTGATCGTAAATTTTTTATAGATTTTTTAAACATTCTGAATTATCAATTATTGTGACTTGTAGTACTTTTTACGTAATTTTACAAGTATATAAATTTCATTTCAACAAATTTGCAGATTTCATGCGCAAATTCTAGGTCAAACTTAAACTGTTTTGACTCTCGAAAAACAAAAAGTGCCACATAAATTGGAACAAAGAGAGTAAGTGATTGTTTTTACTTTATAGTGACTCTTTGATTTCAACTTTCAACTAGACATGTTTAAGACCACAATATTAAATATTGATACGTTTGACATATCTTCATCAATTTAATATCTGAAGACTCAAAAATCTTTTTTCACTCTCTTAAACTCCGTATCAAATTAAAATTAGACAAATAAATTAAAACAGAGGAATATAAATATGTATATGTACCTATTATTAAAAATATGAGGGCCATGTTCGAAGTAAAAAGGTACAATATCCTTGGCAGCAGCAAAGGGTCGATTGTTTTCATTTGGAGTAGTTATTATAGCAGTCAATAAACCTCCTGTACTTGTTCCTCCAATTACATCAAAGTAATCTGCAAGTCTTGCATCTTTATTATTGTCCACTTTCTGACTCGAAAAGAAAAGTAAGTCGTATAAATAACAACTCACTTATCAATCAGATAGTACATTTATATATTAAGAAAAAATTACTACAAAAGTTGTAACATAAGAAAACCATGATTTATTTGAATAATAATTACCCTATCGATAATAGAAGTACTATTACTAATCATTATCACTAATAAGCATCGAAAAAATACAATTCAAGAGTAAAAAAAGAAAAAAACGATTGTAATGTCACACTTACATACATACACGAAAAAATATTTTTACGATACCTGAAGTTGTCCTTCAAGAAAACCAAGAATGGTACCTAGAATGACTATATAGTAGTGTCACACTTACGTACATACATTACAAAATATTTTTACGATACCTGAAGTTGTCCTTCAAGAAATTCGAGAATGGTAGCCGGAATGATTCCCTTAATTCAACCTCCATCAATACTAAGAACAGTCACCATTTCTCCCAACGTAGCAAATGTTGAACTAGTAGTTGCTAATATCATAAAAATTAAAATTAAAAAAGATTTAGTAGTTGCCACTTTGCAGATTATAATTAATAAAAACTAATATCTCAAAGTGTTTTTAAATTTTGTTGATGCTTTGAGCATATAACAAGCGTGGTATATATAGGCACGTAAACAAGTTGAGAAATTTTATTTTGAGTTTGACATAACCAATAAAAGTTAGTGATGTCTATTAGTGATGTTTATTACCTCACTCACTTTGCACCGCAACTGTCGTTAGTGATGTTTACCTTTCCTTTTTCTATTCTTTATTAGTATTATATAATATATATGTGTGATGAGACTTGAAATTGTTTAGCACCGCAAATGTCCTTGTTGAGGGGAGGTTTTCTTTTGCTGAAGTTGGGGTGGTTGGGGTGTCACATACACCCCTCTATGGACTCAACGTCCTTGATGAGGTTCATTTCACACTGCATGAGATTTTTCTAGACTCTACACTATGATTTTTCTCACCTTATCAAAATTGCTTAAACTCAGTTGAAGTCAGGGCCATATCGACAAAACTGACACATGATAGACTCTGATATTAAACAGATTCTCTCCCTCGTACCTCACTCACTTTCCTTTTTCTATTCTTTATTAGTATTAAATAATAGATCCATTCCAACCATTTACGTACATAAGAAGAGAGATATTTTTTTAATGGACTAACATGACAAATAAAACAAACAAAGGAGTAATGATCGATGATAAAAATAAAAGTGGCAATGACCCAGATATATATATCGATCGATTATCATATGACAATAAAATTATGGACAGAGATATGGAGAAATTGGAAATAAAGTCAAAATCGTCGTTGGCCAAGGACTTAGAAACCTTGTAAATTGTAATTTAACCCTCCCACACCTAACACTATTATTTCCACATATATATTTGGTGCCCCATGGAGTTACTTCCATTTCCACGTTTTGGGTACGTCTCCATCACACTAGAGTGTGATTTCGGCTTCTTGTGCATGCGCTAAATGTTGTTTGATAGTTGAATTAGAAGTGAGTTATACATGTATTATATTCTGCATAAATAATAACACGTTTGATAATTGGTTAGGAGTTAGTTTTTCATAAATAAAACTAATAAAATAAATAATTGATCCCTACCTAAAATAATACACAAGTTCTCTCATTACTAATACTTGCATACTCTAACCTGCAAAGTGTGGTAGGACTCACCCAGGTAAGTGTCACGATGGCTCCACAAGTTGTTTCAAGTGTGGACAAGAGGGTCACTTCATGAAAGAGTGCCCTAAGAACCGGCAAGGTAATGGGAATCAGGGCAATAGGGCCCAATCTTTATCAGTTGCTCCACCAGACAGGGCTGCACCTAGAGGAGCTACTTTCGGTATTGGCGGAGGACAAAACCGCCTTTATACGATCACTAGTCGTCAAGAGCAAGAGAATTCTCCAGATGTTGTCACTGGTATGATTAAAGTCTTTACTTTTGATGTTTATGCTTTGCTAGACCCAGGAGCAAGTTTATCTTTTGTGACTCCTTATGTTGCAATGAATTTTGATGTCCTTCCTGAGAAACTTTGTGAACCCTTTTGTGTTTCTACATCGGTTGGGTAGTCTATTCCATCTGAGAGAGTATATCGTGATTGTGTCATTTCCATCAATCACAAAGACACCATAGCTGATTTAATTGAGTTAGACATGGTAGACTTCGACGTCATTCTAGGTATGGACTAGCTTCATGCTTGTTAAACCTCTATTGATTAGAGATCTTGAGTTGTTAAGTTCCAACAGATTTTGATGTCATTCTAGAAATGGACTGGCTTCATGCCTGTTATGCCTCCATTGATCGTAGAACTCGAGTTGTTAGGTTCCAAATTTCTAATGAGGCAGTTATAGAGTGGAGTAGCAATTCAACAGTGCCTAAGGGTCATTTCATTTCGTACCTTAAGGCGAGAAAGTTAGTTTTCAAGGGGTGTGTCTATCACTTAGTCCGAGTTAATGATTCTAGTGTTGAGACACCTCCTATTGAGTCAGTTTCAGTTGTGAATGAGTTTCCAGAAGTCTTTCTAGATGATCTACCCGGAGTCCCTCCTGAGAGAGAAATAGACTTCAGTATAGCTATTCTTCCTGATACTCGTCCTATATCTATTTTGCCATATAGAATAGCACCAGCAGAGTTGAAAGAGCTAAAAGAGCAGTCAGTGGTGGATCTATGAAGGGTTGTGGGGGTGCCACGCCACCCCCGAATTTCGACGGAAACTCTATATATACATAGGTATATATATAATATTTATATAAATATAAAGCGTGCCACCCACAGAACAAAACTGGCTTGTGGTGCCACGGTAGGAGGGCAACTTTAGAAGGCTGATGTTGCGGGTTCGTTTGAGAAATTTGCTGCATACGTTTTTAAGAAAAAAAAAGGCTCCAAGCACGTTTTTTTAAGGAAAAACAGCTGGCACAATTTTTTTTATATTTTTTTATAATTGTTATTGACTTAAATTAAATTAATTACATTATTACTCCTTTGACTTTTCACTTGCTTATTTTCTTGTAATGTTGATTTTGATTTTACTTGCTGCTACTGCAACTGTGGAGAGAGCATTTTTGTCATTGAAGTACATAAAAAATGAAGTGCAGAATAGTATTGGTAATCAATATTTAAATGATTGTCTAGTGTGTTACATAGAGCGTGATGTATTTATAAATGTTAGTAATGATGTCATTATCGATCGTTTTCAGAATATGAAAACTCGTCGAGGACAATTGTAAATGAATGATGAATATTTATAATATTAGTAATATTATTGAAAGTTTTAAACTTATTTGTGAGAAAAAAGGATGGTTCCCTTAGAATATGTATAGATTATCGCCAGTTGAACAATGTTACCATCAAGAATAAGTATCCTCTTCCGAGAATTGATGATCTTTTCGATCAGCTTCA